ACACACACACACACTCACTCACTCACTCACTCACAGACACACAAACACACACACACACACTCACTCACTCACTCACAGACACACACACATACACACACACGTCACATCAGCGTTCAGCTCTGAGCATCAGATCCACATTTAGACATGCCTGATGTTTTACCCTGAAGCATGACGTGCGGCTGATGATCCTCAGATCTTCCAGAATCATCCTCTCTGACCCAGCGATGGGTTTCCCACAGACCGTACAAACATCCCGACTGCTGACGTCCTGCTCAAGTCATCTGCTTACAGTTTACTGAATCAAATAATAAAGCCCTGAACGTCATGAATGAGAGAATCTCTGACCTGCTGGACTCCAGCGTCTGCAGAGGCGGCGACGCAGCGGGTCTCGACTTGTTCTGATATTAAGAGACGTTCACATGTGCATCAACATCATCCATCCTGTGTAATTATGAGTTATCATCATGTCTAGTGTGTATGATGTGATGTAGAGAGTGTGTGACGATGAAACGGTCTTACTGTGATCTGACAGGCTGTGACTGAACGCTTCCAGACCGGATCGACAATAAAGAGTCAGCAAGATCGTCCAGCGGAGCGCTGATGGAAAACACATCTGGAATGAGTGTCCTGAAGATCTCAGGGGGACAAAACAAGAGTGAAGTACTCGACAGCATTACCTGGGAGTCTGATCGCTGTAGCACGTGTTCAGAGACGACGGAGAACGAGTTGAAGAATCACTGACATCACTGCATGTGAATAAACATGAATATATCATCATCACACGGGCTTCTCTCTGGTGATCTGCTTCCAGTTTTCAGTGTGTAATTGAGAAGAAAAGATCAGGATGAGTTTGTTTCTTCATCAGGTTTGTAGAAATGTAGCGTTGCATCAGTGTCTCAGCAATGGATGCTCTGCAGTGAATGGGTGCCGTCAGAATGAGAGTCCAAACAGCTGATAAAAACATCACAATAATCCACAAGTAATCCACAGCACTCCAGTCCATCAGTTAACATCTGGAGAAGACAAAAGCTGAAACACATCCAGCATTAAGACAATTATAACTAAAATACATAGAGTCCATAATAACTCTTCCTCCAGTGAAAAAGTGCATCTGCTGTTGTCTCTCACATCAGAATCCAGCCACATATGTGTTTAGAGCTGTTTAAACGCTGCTTGATCTGTGCAGATTTCTCTCCTGATTCACACCAGAACACTTTTTCACTGGACGGAGCTGCTCCACTGCTGCTGGTCTTCTTATCGAGTCTGCTAAAACATGAAAAAAAAAATACAAATCAACAACGAAACAGAACTGTAGAACAATGGAATTCAAAACATGAAACTGAAACACTCTTTCAGTGAGATCATATGTGACCCTGGAGCACAAAACCAGTCATCACAATCATTTTTGTGAAATTAAGATGTATACATCATCTGAAAGCTGAATAAATAAGCTTTCCATTGATGTATGGTTTGTTAGGATAGGACAATATTTGAAAATCTGGAATCTGAGGATGCAAAACAATCTAAATATTGAGAAAATCATCTTTAAAGTTGTTCAAATGAAGTTCTTAGCAATGCATATTACTAATCAAAAATTAAGTTTTTATATATTTACGGTAGGAGATTTACTAAATGTTTTAATGGAACATGATCTTTACTTAATATCCTAATGATTTTTGGCATAAAAGAGAAATGTATAATTTTGACCCATACAATGTATTGTTGGCTATTGCTACAAATATACCCCAGCGACTTAAGACTGCTTTTGTGCTCCAGGGACACAAATTAGAAGTTTAATTGTCAATGTAAATGTATATGTGTTTCTAAATTACTGAAATATTAACTTAAAATCTTACTTCAAATAAATATTTAAGCTCAGAAGGGTTCAGCTGACAAATCTCTGAATAAGTGTTATTTTAGTATCACTGAGAAACTATTACGGTTTTTATTAATATTTTGAATCAGTTTTTGTTTTTGCATTTTCTGTCTAATTTAGTTTTTTATATTGTGTGTTTTTGTCATTTTTAGTATTTTTTTAGTGCGGTCAAACGATTAATGGTGATTAATCGCATTGAAAATAAGTTTTTGTTTACATAATATATGTGTGAGTACTGTGTATATTTATGATAACACAAACATGCATGTATATATTTAAGAAAAATATGTTTTGTTTATATATAATACACATAATAAATATACACAGTACTCACATTTATTTTCGATGTGATTAATCTAAATCTATAAAAAAAAATAATTTGTGGAAGGATGAATTAAGGCTTTTTTGTGACTTGCAGAAACCCATGTGTTATGTGATGTGTTTTCCAAACAAATAGTAATAAAAAAACATGAACTTAATGTTTACAGCAGTTATTTTATTTTTAACATCACACTTGTTGTGCTGCACACATTTGACCTTCATTACTGGAACATCTGTATTGACTCTGACAAACTCAGACATGAGTCATAAAAGTATAAAATATAATTGAATGACAGGAAATATGTACATAACATTTCAGTCATGAAGACACAATATTTGCTCAATATCCTCTAGTCAGTGATTTCTCTTCAGGCTGTTGATCAGCTGATGTTCTGCACCAGTTTCAGAAGAGCTTCTCTCTCATGGTTCTCCTGCAGGAGTCTGAGCACCTCCTCCAGAGCCTCGCCTCCCCTCATGAACTCCTGTCTCTCACTCACACACACACACACACACACACACACACTCACACAGAGATACAGATAGACACACTCTCACACACACACACACACACACACCACACACACAGATACAGATACACAGACACACACCACACAGACACAGACACAGACACACACACACAGTATTAATGGATCCAAATGGAACTGAACAACTGTGTTTCCAAACAAGACTCAGATGCGCCCCCTGTCCCCTGTTCAGACCGTTACCTTGATGTCACGCGTCACATAACCGATCCTGTGGTCCGTCACACGATCTTGACTGAAGTTATACGTGCGAATTCTCTCTGACTGAGATCGAGTGCCGACCTGAGAGACACAAACACATTTACAATGTAATAAAGCCTGTTCATGTTATTAAACGTCATTATAAAGTGTTTAAAGTCACTGCAGTAAAGGGTTGTTTGTAGTATTTGGTTTGATCTGACAGGTAACTCACCTGTTGTCTGCGTGCGGCGTGCGTCTGCGCTGTCTGCTGTCCCATGATGCTCTGGTACAGTCGGGCCCGGAGCACACGCAGCGCTGTGTCACGGTTCTGCAGCTGAGAGCGAAACTGCTGGCATTCAGCTACTGTTCCTGAAAACAAGAGAGAGTCCAGATCACAGGATAATCCAGACCAAAACAAGAACAAGACCAGGCAGCACGCGTCAAATTCATCTGAAAGATACACATTTAGACATGCACTGATAAAATAATAAAAAAAAAAAAAGTACACTATAATTACCACTGCGTAAATATTATTATACGATTACTGTATTATATATATAAACATTTTAATATAGAAGTATTATGGAAAAATAAAATATTACTTTTAAATATGAAAGTAAAAGCATCAGTGGGTAGTGGAAAAATCACTTAATGAGTGAGTCATGGAATCATTTGATTCGTTTGGTAACAAAACAGCTGTTCATCTGTGGATTGGTTTGGAATTATTTTCACTGGCGAAACAGTAAGTTGTTAGGTTATTATTAACTACTTGTTTAAAACAATTAACTATCGCGTTTGCAGTCGTGCTCATATTTATGAAAACAGCTCCCTTGCTCTGTGATATTGCTTAATTATAGCATATGTTATAATAATAAAAAAACGTATACACACTTTTTTTGCATTAATATCTTTCATTTTGCTGACATTTTTGACACAATGCCCTGTTAATTTCTGACCCGGCAAACAGTAACAAAATAAATCAGATTAGAAATAAGCTACTTATTGAATTTGAAGTGGGAAGTTTAATTCTAAACACATTAATGATGTTAACAAATAAATCAGTCCAACAGGAATTGTGTGCGCTCAAAAAGAACAATGAATTCTCAGGTGCGTAGAGCAAAAGGGATAAAGTTTTAGTCCAACAAGTCGCTGAATTTGTCCACACACTGAAACATTTTTTTTTTTCCAATCAGACCAAAAAATGTCTCTCAAAAATGTGGTTTTTATTATCCATATGCAAAAGTGAAAAAAGTGCAAAGTGTATTAAAAACAGACCAAAGAGCAGACGTTTCAGCCCATGCTTTCTTCAGTGCTCATGAAGAAGGCAACCGATACACTTTGCACTTTTATCACTTTTGCATATGGATAATAAAAACCACATTTTTGAGAGACATTTTTTGGTCTGATTGGAAAAAAAATTCAGTGTGCGGACAAATTCAGCGACGTGTTGAACAAATAAATCAGACGATCCACTGACAATGTCTCAACTGTCATCTTGACTGGTCTTGAAATAAATCCCCAAGACCCTCAGAAGCGGTCTAGAGCCGGTCTGGAGTAGTAGTGCACTCACTCAGACGCACCTGTAGCAGTGCACTCGCTCAGACGCACCTGTAGCAGTGCACTCGCTCAGACGCACCTGTAGCAGTGCACTCGCTCAGACGCACCTGTAGCAGTGCACTCGCTCAGACGCACCTGTAGCAGTGCACTCGCTCAGACGCACCTGTAGCAGTGCACTCGCTCAGACGCACCTGTAGCAGTGCACTCGCTCAGACGCACCTGTAGCAGTGCACTCGCTCAGACGCACCTGTAGCAGTGCACTCGCTCAGACGCACCTGTAGTAGTACATTCGCTCAGACGCACCTGTAGCAGTGCACTCGCTCAGACGCACCTGTAGTAGTACACTAGCTCAGACGCACCTGTGGGCAGGTGA